TGGCATAACAAGAAATTCACATGCTATTCAGACACAGCCTAATGTTTTTCAGCATAACCATGTAAATGCAAGCCATGGCAGTTGGCAGTTTAACAAGGGAAGGGGCCCAAAAATAAAATTTTCAGGAGTGCTTTGTAATATTCTTTCTCTATTCTAGTTCAAGGCAACTCATGTCTTCCTGGTTTTGACTATTTCATATATAAACGATGCAGTTAAACATTCGATCTTCATGGCCGTTATTATGGCCATGATAACGAACATTATTATAATTACAGTTTGGCAATTATAAGTTAGGCATGAACTGCTTCAAGTTCTCATCTTCATGGCTGTTATTATGGCCATGATAATGAACATTATTATAATTACAGTTTGGGCCATAATTATAAGTTAGGCATGAACTGCTTCAAGTTCTTAGACCTATATTTGGTAAGTTATTGAAGATTTTCTGTTAGGTACTGAATATTAAAAATTCCATCATAATATTAGAGCAGTTCCAAATATATAATAAAATTAGAAAACTGTTCAAAGTGGAAGCTTACCATTAATACAGCATATGATAAATTAGAAAGCCTGCTGAAGAACAGTCTGTTAATTCCTACAGATCAAGTTAAACACACAAAAATACATTTCTACACAGTAAGAATTTGCTGCATATTTAAAGGGTATAAAGAGTAAAGTTGGGAAATTGGCCATATCCACAGCACTAGATCTAACTTTTGGTTAGTGTCAAAACATGGCGACTTCACACACCGTCAGACTGCTCTGACATTAGCCAAGGAAACATTGCAGTCCAGACTCAGAAGTTAGTTACCTACATGCTTAAAGCATGTTTCACTATGGTATTCTGCACAGTTTTAACAAAAAAACCACCAAGTAATATTAGTGGCTGAAAAATAGTGGTTTTAATTGCCAGTGAAAATGCTGGTTTTTTTAAAGGCAGCACAACTGTCTTCTAAGGAAAAACTGGATGCAGGCTGCACACACTGAAAATTTCTATCGCTAATTATTTCCACCACTGAAGAAGAATATGAGTTCCATACAACTGTGGCATAAGAATTAAATCAGCTGTACATTCTATTCTATCTAAAGTAGCATGAGATATCATCATATAATTGTTAGAGTATCTGTCCTCATATTTAATCTATCATAAATAATCTAAGAAAAAGTCCCCAAAATCTATGGAAACCAAGAACACAGACAATGCCATCAGTAGAGGAGGATAATGATATATTTGAATATTCTGTTACTAGAAAAATATATGTTCATAGTCCCTTTTTGAATGCAACATCAGTACACACAGAAATTTGAAAACTCATGAAGGCAATCTCTTAACTGGAAGGGTCTCTAATCCGGAACTTTAGGTAATTTTTTAGAGCTCTCTAAAGAGCCAGGTGACTTACCTGGCAAAACGTGCTGGGACTTCCTAGTGATCTACCTGCATGGCTTGCTTTCCTCTGCAAACCAGGGTGTGGGGAACCACACAGCCCTGAACCACAGCCCTGTATAGTTACCAAACTACATACCTCCTGGGCCTGAAAATTAATTACAAGCTACAGGCTAAATAGCCTTGTATGAGAACAATGGGGTGAAGACGTGGATAAATGATGTATAAAACATTTAATAAAACCTGATATGTACCATTAGTCCTCCGAAACAGATTGAACATTTCAACTGTCTCAGTTAAGTTACACAAGTTGGATTATTTGCTGCAGGTAAATGACAAATATCATTCAAGAGAGGTGGCTTCATTAACTATGGAAAATGTAGAAGGTTTTTGGAAGTGTGAGGGGGAGATAAGGGACAGCACAGAGATAGATAATATCAATGTTTTCCTAAGCAAAATTATTTCAAAAGGTTTTGAACAACTTATCAACAAAATTTGTGCTACAAATATTTGTTATTAAGACATGAAGAACTTCTCAATTTAGCCCATCACACATTTTACTATCAACCTATTGAAGCAGTGGATTAAGGAATATTGTCTCTTTTTTGCCACCATGACATTTAGATTTTCTACAAACATTCTGTAACTTTTTTGAAAGATTTTCTAGAAAGCTTTTAAAAAAATTTTGTAAAATATTTTCTAAAATCTTTTTCTAAAAGGTTTTTTCTAAAAATTTCTTTAAACATTTTTAAGATTCATCAGTAAAATCCCACAACTATTTTCACAATATAAAATGAAAAAATAAATAAACTTATCATGTTTTATTATATATATTTATTCATTAAGTATTATAATGAATCATAGAATAGCTGAGGTTGGAAGGGACCTCTGGAGGTCACTCTGTCCAACCTCCCTGCTCAAGCATGGTCACCTACAGCAGATTGTCCAGGACCACACCCAGACAGTTTTTGCATATCTACAAGGATGGAGGCTCCCCAAGCTGTCTAGGTAATCTGTTCCAGCACTCAGTCACCCTCATGGTAAAAAAGTGTTTTCTGATGCATAAAATTTTTCCTTATCTATAATTTTTTTTCCTTATGCATGTTTTTCTTAGGCGTTCAGACTAAATGCCTTCTTGTAATTTCTGTGCATGAGGAACTGAATTTGTTCATAATCCCTTTAAAACAACAAAACCTTTATGATACAAATGCCTGTTCACAACATGAACACAATTATTTTTTCAAGATAATACCTAAGTACCCACAAGATTGTTTTTCCCTGCAGTCTGACATTTGGAGTTGCTCTTGTTGGACTACTGTCCAAGTCAGATAAATTCCCCTTTATGAGAGTAAGAGTGATTACTCTTTTTTTTTTATCTTCACACTCATAAACTTGCATACATATTGCTTGATCAAAGCAAATATGATTCTGCTGATACTCATTATCATCTTCTGTTTGTAATAAGTATTCTATTCGCATAACTTAATCTAAGCACTTGATATATTAAGTGTTAGATTGAAGCAGAAATTCTCCTTTACTGTATTATTTACATGTTTTGAATATGTATATCCGTGCCAGAACTGGTTTTAAAAATTGACTTTAGAAAAGTTTTGCATTCCTAGCTTTTTATACTAACACTTATCCATAATACCAAAAGCTGAACTATACACTAAACCATTTTTTTTTCATCTTGACATATTGCCTAGGAAAAACCCCACCACATTTTCTTTGCTTTTCAGAAGGAATTTCTATGTCATGTTTTCATTACTCTTTTTCTTTACATTTTTTTCAGCATTCATTTTCTTTTCCTTTAAGCTTAATCTTCTTTTAAAAATACAAAATCTCTTCACAGGATATGCTACTTGCTTCCATTCTGCATGTGTGCATATTTTCATATATGTTTTTCAAAAATATATAAGGAATGAAAAACAGAGGAAGTCTCTCTACCTTTTTTGTGTGTATATATATATATGTGGACACAGGCATATGTGTGCATGTGATCGCCCCAATATTAAACTTGAAATGTTTATGACAGCTCATTCCAAGTATTATACGAGAGTTATCAGAGGATTAGAAGTATTATTAAGGAATAGCAACATACTATTAGTTCCACATACAATCTGATATTAATGTCAGAGACCATCTAAAATTTCAGAAATTATGAAACTGATTCTTCTCACATTCTTCATTATTTTGTTTAGGGTTTTTTTTTTTTTATACACGTGACTACTCTCTCACAGGGTCCATTCCACAGATACACTATTAGTCTCTCATTCCTTCTAGCTTTCAGTGTTTTTTTGTACTGGTTTGTTGTGTTTTGTTTAAAGATGACAAATGAGAGAACGTTTCTGATTTCGCAAAATACTCAGTATGAACACCTGCGTGCTTATACAGTTACATATTTATTTGGCTGGGGCGTGATACATTCTTTATTCTGATTGAGCAACATTCCCTACAGGATGCACAATTTTATAATGAAATTTAAATTTTAGTATTTTATTTTCCATCTCTTAGAAATTTTCTATGTTTAATATATACAGTATAAAATAGTCAGCTAATAGGCAAATAATTTACTGGTTTGAGCAGAGCTCAGTTATCAGTTCTTCCTCCTTATATGCTGAGATAGAATCACATGGTACTGGATCATTTTTTTCAAACTGTGGACCAAGAGGAAATAGCTTTCATATTTTGTAAAAAATATTGAGAAATTAAACTAGCTAAATCTTGAAACATTAATAGAAACTAACATTTAGAATTTCTGGCTATAATTCAGACTTTCTAGTTGAAACACCCAGATTCAGAAAAGGGGTAAAAGAATTTTTTTAGTCACCTCTGTTGGCCTGACTGCAGGCCTTAGGACTCCTCAGATTTTGATCCCATGACTATCATGCCAAGAAGAAAGAAGTTGATCAGATCTATGCTAGCTTCAGACAGCCCATGGAGATATTACAGCTCTGTTCCTTGTTTTACAGAACCACCACAGCAGTTTCCCTTCTAGTTACCAGAAGAAGAGCAGGATTTGTTAACTGAGAACTGTTTCGGAAGTCATGGATTCATGACAAAGGTGTGGCAGGTGGGCAAAATTTGAGTGGTATATAGTGCTTGAAACTGGGGAACCCAGTGTCTCCGGAAACATCTGCATTATGCCATGGTTCAAAATTCGTAAATTCAGTGAGCACTGGGAACATCTACCTCATGCAGCTAAGTTTTTGTTGACTTCAACACCATGCTGATTTGACAGGCAGTTCCTCTGGTTGCTGCTTGGTCTGAAATCCAGTGAGTACTGGGATTAAGTTGTTGCGTTAAGCAGACGCTGAACAGTTGCTTTAAGAGACAACCTCTCCTGGCTCTCTCTGAGTTTCTGTTAATATACATAATCTCTAGTTTGTGAAACTAGAACAGAGTTTAGCCTACTCTCTTTGAAAGATTTCTGGGCTTTCAAATCAAAACAGCTCCTGTTTACTTGTCAAATCAAGTCTACATTTTTGCAGGTGGTGTTACTGAAAAACTTCATTTCTGAACATTACTCCAATAAACACAAACAAGGCAAGGCTGGCATGCAATTTATCCCTTGATCATGGAAGGAAAGCCAGAAATGCTAGAGAATAATCTGTACCTTGTGGCGTAATCTTATTAGGGGCTGATAGGGCCTAAAGTCATATCCTTCCTTCGCTGGCCACCCGTCTGCTCCCAGCAAAATGCATCCAAGAAGTAAAACAGCTGACCACCACATAAACATCTTTACAGGTCTGTTCCTGTCAAAATAAAATGTAAAAGTTCAGTGACAGACTGCAATGTTACTTTGGCACAAATCATGTAATAAAAGTTTACAATTCCAATATTCCATTTGTGGACTTGAATAAATACGGTAGAAATAGCATACTTCATCTGACACAGCAGCAAAACCAAAAAAAAGGTAGTAGTACTTGGGATCACAATATCAATTTGGTTGTGCTGAACCAAACATTTTGTTATCACTATTCAATACTCATACGAGAGGTTTACTGAGGAAACAACCAGGAAAAACCTCAGAAAATATAGGAAATAACAGAAAAGCAGTGGTGAAAAATTCAGTACCATTTTTCTCAAATGAAGGAAAAAAGTTGATCACCAATGACATGTTCAACTTTTTTCTTTTAAATACTGTCTCCTGTGATGCACTGTTCACAACCTAAAAGCGTAAGATAACGAGCATATGTCTATTATCTTTATCTCACCAACACTGAAGTCTAAAATGTAAGTAAAGCACTATATTTTCTGCCAATATTCTGGAGAAATTTTTAAATTGCAATATTGAAATTATGTATGGTCTATAAGCTTTATTGCATAGGTCAGTATTGTAAAAACATTTCCAGTCTATTAAGTAAACACCCCACATCTTGCCCCAGAATTCACTGCAGTCAAGTGCAAAATTCAGGGTAGATTATATGAAAAACTTTTCTTTGATTGTTTTGGGGTTTTGCTTCTGTTTCAGAATCCCACAACTCATGTTGCAGATGACCTGAACTGGCAAAGCACTACCATGGTGAATGCACCAGCATTCTACTACTTGTTAGAAACAAATCCAAAATAGCAAATGATATCTTGAAGAATGGGTAGGTCACAGGACACTTCAGGAAACTACGTAAATGCTTTTGTATTAGAACTAATGACATTTCATTAGAGTTGTTTGTCTTCAGAAATAGTTGTTTCAAATGCTGTTGTTGGTAGTTTTGTACATACATATTGCTTCATACTTGTTTAACGCTATTTTACAATTAGCAAGAAAAATGTTGTCATCCTAGAGGATGACCTTGACCACTTCATCTGCACTCTGTCCATAAATTTGTCATCCTGCAGTCATCGTAACAGCCTAGTTTGTGCTGACTGCAATGTACTGGTATATTTTAAACCAGGTTATCAAAAAGTTACTTTCTATTCGAATGAACAAAAAATTTGATTTTTCGAGACAAAATTGACTGGTTTGATGAGCTACTCCTACATTGTCCAGCTACCATGGTAAATTAAGTTGTGACCCATTAGAACTAAAATTAGGATATTAGATACTGATATTAGAAAGGGAGATACACAACAATCTTGAAGAAAGCACAGAAATGTCGCTAATGTTAAAGGCCTTGAAAAAATTATATTCTGAAATTTATGAGAAAATCCTTGCAAAAGATGCTGAAAAAAATCATAGAGAATTTGGGTCAGAGCTGCTTTTGACAGGTCAAAGTCATTATAACTTCATAAAGGTAAGTTCAGAGTTATGGAAGGCCTATAACAATCATACTCACAGATTTTATAGATACATACATGTGAAAATTTCCTTATATGGTTCCTAATGGACCAACAAATGTGCATTACATAAGTGGTTTTAGTACCCACGAGAGATATTTGATATTTATTATTGATATTCAGCATCTGTGTTGAAACTCTCATGCTAAACAGACAACACAGGAAACCAGTCCTCATCACTCTGAGACATGGGCAAGTCATTCTGTTTAGTCTATGTTATTTAGTCCTGCAATATGGGACAGAGATGAACAACTTTTATGTAGGCTGACTTATGCATGAGAATTTATTATCTTTTCCCTTTCTAACTTGCTTCTAATGCAGTTACCCTGCTAATGTGGAAATCTCCGATGAGAATAAAAATATACATGAATAAGTACCAAATGTTGTGAGTGTGCCCCAAGAACCCAGAGCGCATACAGAATGTTAAAGTCTTGTCTAAAATTTCCTTTTTTATAGGAAATTAGCTGAGCATAAAATATGAACAAATTGGGGATCACTTATTATCCTGTATCATTTACACTCATGCTCCCGGCAATACTGTTACACAAACTGTGGTTTCAACTCCTATCATTCTTCATACAGCACCCAAAGGCAGGGACTGCATGCAGGCAATTCCTGTGGAGGTAGCAAAGGTATTAAGCGGAGTCTAGCCTTACCTCTATTCACAGTCTTGGTAATGGGATCCTGCATAAATCTGCTACCCTGCTTTGGGGACTTAGTCTACCAAACCAGTAAAACCACTTAAAAGTTGCTGTCTGTTTCATTTTCATTCCAGCCAAATTTTACCAGCCTGCCTAGCTTTCGTATTTTTAACTCAAACTCAAGCTTGAGATTAATATAGGTGGTGTCAAAGTAGTACGGTATCCTGTGTTCCCCCCAAACCGATCTCATTCTGGGTCTCCCTATTAATCAAATTTAAGATTTCTTATCATTTATCATTGCTTATTCCAACAGTTCCCACTTCAAGTACCTTTTTTTTGGTACTCTGGCTTTTCTAAGTAGACATAGTAAAGGTATCTCTGCTAAGAGATGATTTGAAACAAAGACAACAAGCTCTATCAGAGAGAGAGATTCTGCATAAATAACTTAAGGCTTGCTCTTTTCTACCTGTTCAGAAACTGGATATTCAAGTGATGATAGAAAGTGACACAGTGAATAAGTTTCCACATCCTTCCTCCAAAACAGAACTGCTAATCAGATGTTCCGCTGTGCCTTTACTGTGGGGTTATTACAAAAAATCTAGCTCACTGACTTGAAACACTGGAAAAGATTATTTCAGAGCTCTGAGAATTCAAGTATGTCATGGAATGGTATTTTCCTTCACTGCCTCTGTGTTAGTTCTCATTATCACTGTTATTGGAACAATAAGTCCATTACAAGGAAAAAAAAAAAAGAAAAAAGAAAAACCAGATTCTTGACTTTTAATCTTGAAGAAAACACCTCTTTATTTGTGTTTACTAAAAAAAAAAAAGTCTTTGAAAATAGTATTGTTAACTTTCAAGGTCAGAATCAGATAAGTTTAGAAGTTATGCATACTAAAACCAGCTGTGCACAGTTGAACCTCTGTTCCCTTTGTGCACTTGTGGAATATCTCTCCATACGATGAAAATTAGGTTGGAGAACAGTCATTTCACAGAAGACAGTAAGGGCAGCCACATTCCACTCCCCTCCCATCTAAACTGCATATATTTTAGCCTCGTGTGGTGTAAAAGAACAGAGTCCTTATAGTTTTGAAAATTGTTTGACCCTGAAAGGCTTCTCCTTTGTACTTGTCCAAAAGAAGAGAAAATTATTACATGCTCAGTTTCTGACTTTATTGCCTGTTACCTGGGTGAACACTTAAAATGTAAATTAAAGAAGTCAGCTTTTTGGACAGATGCCACCTAGAATCCCAAAAGTATGTAGGGTGTCTGCAGTTCTAATTTGCCTTTCAGAAATAAAAAAATATCATCTTTTTTTCAAAGTATCATAAATTTTCTATTGAATTTACTGCATAACTTCATCAGTTATTTAAAAGCGACTACCAAAACCACAGCTGTCCTTAAAACAATACTACCATTAAGTTTTTATTTTAAGAAAAATTTTGATCTGTCCTTAAAGACTTACATTGTTAAAGAGTTGAATTAAAGAGGTGAAATAAAAATGAGTTTTCAAAGCTTCATTACAACTAGATTTTATTGCTGTATATAGGAAAACAGAAAGAAATCAGTTATCAATTCTATATATTTATGGTACCTAAAATAACTTGCTTCTTATTTCTATTTGGAGGTACGGCATGAATTGTAAGTTAAGGATTTTTTGTATATTTCTTTTAATGGTTATATTATCAAACAATCAGAAATCATGTTTTTAAAGGACATGCTTACATCATGCACTCTGGGGCAAAGTGACATATTTCTGAACTCAAATTTGCATTACTGATCTAGATCTTGTTTACTCATTGATTATAATCTGACAGAATTTGATGTTTCAGTGCTTGTAAAACATTCTTCCGTATTTTTAACTTAATTAATTACATATTTGTATAGCAGTTGATTTTAAGGTTTTTATTATATGGTTACTTTTATTTTCTTTTTTTTTGTTTGTTTCAGGTCATGGTAGACATACTGAGTTTTAAGCTGTCAGAAACTTTTTCACAGATCATTAGATTTGAATATATAAATGACTACAGTTACTTAGCATGCTTTTATTAAGTGCACAGGATATTATATGAAATAATATATCTTTCACAAGAACTGGAGATAATGGGCTTAAGCAATTTCAGGGTCAGACAAACAGTTAATGCAGTTAAATGTTATAATCAAATTTATGTTTCATAAGAAAATGCTGAAAATCAAAGATTTTAAGCATTATTAATACAGGTTTTAATAAATATTTTGAAACATGAGAGTTCAACAAATATAGAGATCCTGAGTACAAGCAACTTAGGCTTTTGTATTTTTCCGCTATTACTGTTTGGAAAAGTGGAAAAAAAGTTCTACTTTAATCTCCCAGGCAGTATATCTATTTCTGAGAACTTTGGAAGAGGCGGGGGTGATGGTGTGTGCGCCTTAATCAAAGACGAATAAGGCATTAATCTCACTTTCTGTCTCTCCGGGGACTTGCGGCAGACTGAAACTTGGGATCTGAACTGAGCAGCTGCTCAGCCACAGAAGACAGTGGAGAGGCCACCTTTGAAAGAAACATTTCAAGAAATAAGCAAGTGCTATTCAATTATATTTGACAATTTCAGTGCAATGCTACTGAACAGATACTTTTTTTCTTGGGTTTGTCGCATCACTGAGGCATCACTCAGAAAGCAGAGTAGTGAATTTGCTTGTGCTGTGGAAGTTGTGAAATCAGACTGTCAGGCAGACACATTCCTGACCTTTACCAGTTTTTCCGGTGATGTGTTTGTTCATGCAACGTGCTTGAGTAAATATGAGCTCCACATATTACAATACAGCTCTTACATACCTGTAA